CGTTTCGGGGCCCCATAGGGAGCCCCACCGAAGGCCCCAGTGCTGCCGCCCGCATGCGTCCCGCACACCCAATTCGGCACACCCCTCACACGTTTCGTGGGCCCATAGGGAACCCCACCGAAGGCCCAAGTGCTGCCGCCCGCATGCGCCCCGCACGCCCAATTCGGCACACCCCTCACACGTTTCGTGGCCCCATAGGGAGCCCCGCCGAAGGCCCCAGTGCTGCCGCCCGCATGCGTCCCGCACACCCAATTCGGCACACCCCTCACACGTTTCGTGGCCCCATAGGGAGCCCCACCGAAGGCCCCAGTGCTGCCGCCCGCATGCGCCCCGCACGCCCAATTCGGCACACCCCTCACGCGTTTCGTGGCCCCATAGGAAGCTCCACCGAAGGCCCCAGTGCTGCCGCCCGCGCGCGTCACGCACGCCCAATTCGGCACACCCCTCACACGCTTCGTGGCCCCATAGGGAGCTCCACCGAAGGCCCCAGCGGCGGCGCTCACATGCGCATGCGTCCCGCACACCCATTTCGGCACATCCCTGACAGGTTTCGTGGCCCCATCATCCACCGGAGGCCCCAGTGGCGGCGCTCACATGCGTCACCCACACCAACCCAATTCGGCACACCCCTCACACGTTTCGTGGCCCCATAGGGAGCTCCACCGAAGGCCCCAGCGGCCGCGCTCACATGCGTCCCCGCCACCCATCCCGGCACGCCCCTCACAACAACAGGTTACGTGGCCCCATGGGGAGCTCCACCGAAGGCCCCAGTGCTGCCGCCCGCATGCGTCACCACCCGCACCCAATTCGGCACACCCCTCACACGCTTCGTGGCCCCATAGAGAGCTGCACCGAAGGGCCCAGTGGCGGCGCTCACATGCGTCCCCGCCACACATCCCAGTACACCCCTCACGCGCTTCGTGGCCCCATAGGGAGCTCCACCGAAGGCCCCAGTAGCGGCGCTTACATGCGTCTCCGCCACCCAATTCGGCACCCCCCCCGCAGCATGAATCATGTTTCGGGGACCCATAGGGAGCTCCACTGGAGGCCCCAGTGGCGGCCCTCACATGCGCTTCCGCCACCCGTGTCGGCACGCCCCGCGCGTGTTTCATGTCCCCATAGGGAGCTTCACCGAATGCCCCAGTGGCACCCATCTCGGCACACCCCTCACACGTTCCGTGGTCCTATGGGGTGTTCCACTGAAGATGAAACCCGCAGCTGCGGTACTGACAACTGCATATGGTTGGGTTCTTCGCCAGGCTAATTATGTCTGGTGTTTTTTACTGGTGTTTTTACTGGATTTTTATGTCTGGCGTTTTTTATGTCTTGTGTCTGATTTTTTATGTCTGGTGTTTTTTACTGGATTTCGGCCTCGAGGGCCCGCTGTCTGGCCCGGGGGCCATCGAGCAGGGATCCGGGCCTTGAAAAACCACCGCCGGGGAAGGGGTCCGGACCCCTGGTGCCGCGGACTGAAATTCTTGGCGGACGTCTGGGAACGTGCACCTTTCGTGTTCCCTTGGGGCCCGGGGGGGGGGGGGGTCCCTTTATAGGGCCCATGAGGTGCACGAAAGGTGCACTCTCTGGCGAGGGGGGGGGGCCGAGTCAGGAGGGCAGGAGGAGGGAGGAGGCAGGAGGGAGTGGGGAACAGGAGGAGGGAGAGGGCAGGGAGGAGGGAGGGGGAGAGGGAGGGAGGAGGGAGGGGGAGAGGGCAGGAGGGGGCGGGGAAGAAGGGGGGGAGGGGAGCGCGCAGCGCCCGGCGCCTGCCCTGCCGCGGGCGGCCGGGCGCCGGCTCTGCGGCAGCCGGGGGCAGTCATCGGCGCGGAGCTCGGGGGGTAACGTTGGGGGGGGGGCCCAGGCTGAGGTCGGGCATGTCTCCCTACAGGCGGATTTTGGACGGAAATAGAAAATAGCCAGAAATACTCCAAAAGGATCAAAACCAGTCGAAAAATTGCCTCCTGTCTATTTTTCGGATGATTTTTGAATATACTTCCTGTAGAGGGACACGCCCGACTTAAGCCCAGGCCTCCAACGTATTGAACAATTCAATTCGGAAGTTTTTCGCCGTTTATTGGCCTCCAGGCCCGGGGGCCGTCCAAAAACGTGGGATGAAGAACAGGCCAGGAAGAAGGGTCGGGATTGCTGGGGACCGCGCATCGAAAAATACGTCGGATCTCCGGGGTGCTCTGGGTTCGACGTTTTCGGGCGTTCTCGTCGGTTCTCGGCGGCTTTCCAGCCTCAGCCTGCTGTCAAGCGGCTGCCCCTCGCCGAGGGCATTCCGGGGGTGCCAAGAGCGTCCCGGACGGCCGCCGGAGGCCCGAGTCATGAAAAAGCGCGATGGACAGCTGTCGGCACATTTCTTCTCTGGGAGCCCTGACCGGGCCCCGGGATCGTCGAACAACGACTCGGGATGAAAAACCGATCCTGGGTCGATGCATCTGTTGGTCGACGTTGAGTACGAGATCATGACGTCGGGGGTCTGGGACCGGAGGGGATGCGCAGC